TGCAGCAGTCAAAGACCCGGTAGTAGTAGTTTTTCTTCTTTCTTCTCTTTCCACAGCTCCGACCTTTCTTACCCACCCACGTGTGACCCCGCAAATTTAAATTCAGCTTCTCCGTACCCGCGGGTAACACTTATAGCCCCGTGAAAGTTTTTTACGGGTAAATTAATATCTCGGGAACCACGGAGTGTAGGAGGCTGAAATTTTAGTGTAATGACCCCCTGCTTACGCTCAACCTTGCCCATTCAAATTCAGCGTTCCCGTACTCTTGAGTGTCACCTACGGCCTCGTGAAAATTTTGGCGGGTAAACTCGGGATAAAGATATTCACCCTTCAAGTTTTCGAATTCAGCTTTCATGCGCTGGCGCGTGAAATTTTTAACTGTTTTCCAATGTTTGAACTATTTTTGCATAAAGTACAAAGTAGTGAAAATCATTAATAGACAATCGTTCGATGGACTGAATTGCACAAAACGCATGATCGCACCGGCTAGTCTGGTGCGCGTTGCTACTTATTCTTCTTTCTTCTCTTCCCACAATTCCGACCTGTCTTATCACTAACGTGTACAGCTGCCAAGTTGGAATACTAGTAAGTGTCCTAGATCAAAGCTTCTATGCATATGCAATCTCGGGCAGTCTCAGAGGCACAATCTCTACACTGGGGGAAAAATTATTCGGCTTTGCGCAGGACGGGATTGGCCTTATCTGTGCACCACTTGCAACCATCATTTCTTTTTCTAATTCTTATGCTGTGCATGCATTTTATTTCTGTATCTATCGAACTGAAACTCCAAAACCGATGTTACTTTTTAGGTGATATGTTCACGGATCTTGGCGATATTCCATTTGAATGGCATCTTGAGTCCTCTTCGTTATCTGAAAGACCTCTTCGAATTGTGCCTTTTTCGCAGTCAAAATATGAAGCACCAGAAGGCGTACGCACGCTAGAGAAAGTCAAAAAACGAGGTTATTTTTTATAAAATTCGCAAATTTGTCGTAAAATATTAAGCCATTGGTTACCATGTTGGTGACAACTTTGTTTCGACTTATGCTTGTAAGATTACTCTTTTCCGGCTAGCATTCATTGAATTTTCATGAAATGGTACTTTTCAGGCTACGTGGTATTGGTTGAAGGGGTGTCCACAGGTGCTGCCGTTCTCAGTGCGAAATTGACCGGATCACATTTTAGGGTTCGCGTTTCTTTTTTGTCCCATTCATTGAAAAGCCAAAAAAACAAAGTAAATCTCAACACCAAACTGCT